GAACAGCTTTTTTAAACACGAGTCTGAATCAATTGAGTTCCTCATTATGCAAGTGTGAAAGGGGAGCCATTTTTGGAGAACCATAAATATTCTAACTGTATTATTCTGAGGAGTTTCCTTACTTACTGCCTGGAACAGTCGACACAGGCTGCCTCATGCCTTATGACGGATCAAAGCTCCCAGGAAACGATATATCTCCAGGGGATACAAGTTGGCTTGATCCGCAGCAGCTCACGGATCACATTTAATAGCGTCTGTTACTCTCTGTCTTTTTTTCCCTCTTTGCTCTCCTGTCTGTGTGTCTATGGAGCGCTCCTGCGTTTACACAGCCTCGTTTTTCTGTTCTACACTGGACTCCTGGGGAGCTCCGCAGCCAGTTTATTTACTGCTAAACATGTGACATTGTTATTCCTGCTCTAAAATCTGAGTTTGCTAATTAAGAGAGTAGGGGGTTTTTTTTGTTAGTTTTTTTTTTTTTTTACTTAAAATCTAGGGTTAGTGGAAGCAGCCCCTCTCTGTTGATTAAATAATTCATTTATTCATCTTCTGTTTCCTATTCCCTTTTGTGTAGCAGGCAGAGAAAGAGACAATCAAGATGGAAAAAAGTTATAAAAAAAACTAGGTTATTATTTTAACAACTTTTTCTGTAGGTTTTTATGCCATCACAGAGACCAAACAACATTCACCCTCACATTGATGCACACTCAAGTATAATTTAGTGTCACTATTAACCCATTGACCAACTCTGTGCCTTGGAATGGAGAAGGTCACCAGGGTGTCTGAGGAGGATCCATGATGCACATGGGGAGAACATAGATAATCCATACCCTCCTTCCTGCAGCCTGACCAGTATCAGACCAGTGTCAGACCAGTATCAGACCAGTATCAGGCCAGTATCAGGCTAACTACCATCACACTACATGGTCATTGTAACCAGGTTTCCTGTAACTAAATAACAAAAGCGTTAACAAAAGAACCCCACACTGTAGGGGTTATCACGTCTAAAAAGGTCCTGGGTCAAAGCCCCAGAGGAACCACATTTTTAATGGCGCCTCCTGTGGTAGCCTGTGTGTTGCAAAGACTCACACTGGGAATTTCCTCATTATGGGAAGAATAAGAAACGAATGTTTTTTATATATTTCTGTATCTCAACCCAAAAACACCATCACTTTTTTCATCTCTTGCACCCCCTGGTGGCCTCTTGTGCACCTCTGAACCAAACCTCTGAATTGA